TTTTTGAGTTATTTTTATTTTCGCTTTAAGTTCCAACAATTACAACAAAATAAAAGTTTTACCTTATTGAATACTTAATATATATTTTTATTTTATATAAACTATAAGTTCAAATATTTTATTTTTAACAAAAATAACACATTTTTTTTTCAACTTATAAATTTACATTATCAACAAATTAAAAAAAAATGTATAGGTTCTTTTTTCAATTTATGGTTAATTTAATTATAGAATGAAAATATTATAGAAAATAAATAAGAAATGTGCTTGACAAAAAATTTAGTAGTTGTCATTTTAACCATTAAAATTTGATAATTTAATATCTATAAATGATAGTAATTGTCATCTTTAATACATTACTAAATCCACTATATATGTTTTTATATTAAATTTCAAAATAATTTATTATATTATCACTTGTCAAGTTATGGATAACAAAAGTATGATATAGCTTTCCTTAAACATTGAACTGATTTTCGATTTTAGCAGCCTGTCCATATAAAAAAAATTAAATATAAACGATTTTAAAAGATTTGCTAGACGAATTTTTAGTCATTTATCTTTTATATTGTGTATATATATATTCATATCAAATCAATAAAATGAGCGAGTTTGTAGAACCTTTACATACTCCTGGAGTATTAACCTCAATTTTTCAAGCTTTTGTCAACACTTATCCCCCCGTGGTCGAAGGATTTGAACAAACTCTACCATTAAAATTTTAAACTAAAACAATATAAACGAATCTCACAATTCTTTTTTATATGCTTTGAAATATAGAGAAGCCATTTTTGTTTCGAATCTTCTTAATAAAGATAACTATTCCACCCGAGCAAGAGTTGGTACTAATGTTCCTCGTGCCAAAAAATTATATTTAGCAGACTCATCGTATGTTTATAAGCTCAAATTTCCTTTACTACTTTTCAATTACAAGACTTGAAAAATATATTTTTTTTAATGTAAGAGATGGATTTTTTTTTTTAATCTTTTTTAAATGGTCATTAATCATATATATAACTATTAGAACTCCTACATGTGTAAACGGGACAGTATATTTCATTTTTCATAATTTATATGGATTTATGCATGTATTTATTTATAAAAGCACGTAAGAATTATATATTTGTAAAATATTTTTCTATAAATATTAAACTTAAAATTCGAAGACTGTAAAAAAATGATATGTAAATAAAATTAAATTTAATTTTAAAAAAGAATAATACAATATCAAACTCTCTTTCTGATAAACTCGTAGCACAAACATGCATGCAAGCATCTTTATTCATGGCTTTTTTTTTATTAATTATTATTTTTCAAAAAAGAATTGAATTTAAATTTAGACGTCATAAAAAAGCTTCTTGAAATCCTGGACGTGGCGGGTTTCCAGACATAAAACCAGCGACAGGAAACCCCTCTCGTCGTTTCTTGGGCTGGCCAGCAAGTAACCTTTACCTTCCGTATAAATGCTTGCGGGTCGGACGTACATCGCCGGACCCCACCCGAAGTCGGAGTCCATCGGCAACCGGTTCCAGCTCACGATACTTAAATTCGGGTTCCTATATATCTCGTTCCCCTTCTTCGGCACCAGAGCGTCAAGATTCGGGTGCAGTTCCAAGTAATCGAGCGCTGATTTCATGTACCCGTCGTCCATCTTCTTTATCGCTCCATGAATCCTCTGAACCGTATCCGACAAATGCTCCGATTCGAGCTCACACGCCAAAGCAGGAATGTTCATGTGAAAAATCACGTTGCCGACATAACCTTCCGGGAGAGGAGGGAACAATCGCGACCGTCCGTTTACTGCCACGTGGACCCTCGTTGCTTGGTTAGCGGCGAGTCCACGTGCTTTGCTGACGCAGCGCCACGTGTGCGCTACGAAGATCTCGTAGGTGGTGTAGTACTTGGCTTTATTACCGCCGTCGATGGCTCGGGCCTTTAAACGCTGGAGGTGGTCACGCGTGACACTGACGACAAACGTGGAATTAGACTGGAATTGATCGATTTGTTTAGCGGTAATTAGGGAAGGAGGTGGATCGTATTCTGGGTGGTTAAAAGTGGGAGAAGGTGGGTCCCGGGCGCGTAGGATTGTACGGTCAATAAAGGGCGTGATGGTGATAGGGAGGCCTCGTGCCACGTCAGCCCATGAATTGATGATTTGCATGGCGGAAATACCGTCAACAGGTATGTGGTGCAAGCCGATCCCCAGGCAAACCCCTCCGCACTTGAAACGCGTCAACTGCACACAACACTTATGCGTGAATACATGTAAGACTGAATGCGGAAATATTAGAGTGACAGGTCGGTGATATAAGGGATAAAATATGCATGGGCATAAAAAAATTAAAAAAAAAAAAATTAACTAAAAAAAAAGAAGTGAATAAACCTGAACCAGAAGAAGAGGGAAAGAAGAAATGTCGAGATTCAAATCACCATCATCGCCGGGGGGAACGAGTTGAGGAAGTGGAGAAGTCTGAATCGACTCACCCAGTTCGTCAATAACACAGTCCGACTCGGCCTCCACAAACAGAACTCCATCTTCATTACACACTATCTCAACCCTACCATTCTTATCTCTTTCCAAGTCTCCCGGCGACCGGGTAAAACGGGACCAGAACCTCGCTCAGAGCTCTCTTCAGCACGCCTGAGTCGAAGAAATCCGAGCCGCCATTATCAATGCGTTTGTAGAAATGCAGAGTCGTCATATGAATCCTTACGTGGACTAAATCAAGGTTGGAGACCCACAGATTGTGTCTGGGAGTTGGCTCCGCCGGCTTTACAATGCTCGTGGCCTTCACTTCGATCTTCATCTGAGCTGCCGAAATTGGTAAGGGCTTGGGAGTTGCGGGACAAACAAAAATGGCAGGCTGTATTTTTTTTATAATAACTAATTTAACATCAACCTGTCAAACGGGGATTGGATTTTGTGTACGGTTGGGCATTTAATTGATTTTACCAAAAATATATTTAAACCTTGAAAAAGAAATAGAATAAAATTTGGAGAATTTACTCCCTACTAATCCAACCTCCTCCTCAAATTAGCCCCCAGAATTTCGTACTTATTATTACGTACAATTCTGTGTGTGTAATTAAATAATTACAGAGGCGAAAAACGTGATTTACTGTTGGAAATTAAAATATTAATTAATATTACGCCGCAAATGGGTTTCATAATTTAGTGTTAACTACAAACTTAATTTGTTTTAATTTTAACAATACAAATAAATATTAAATACTACGTTAATTTTATATAAAAATAAAATAATTTAAACATTAATTTATTTTTCAAACGACATTGAATTCTGCCGGTTACAAGTTGTGGGAGGTTGGTGGGACTTGATTAATTTGTGTGGGCCCTCACTGTTTCAGCGGCTGCAATTCTCCCACGCGGTCACCCTTCATGCTGCACCATGACGCTCTACGTGTCTACGTGGCAACATCCAGGCCTCTCGAAGATTTGTACTTACTACTATCGCTCGCGATGAACAGAATGTTCTACTGCGTTAATCATTAATTTTTCATTTTTATTATAAATTTTTAATTAAAAATTTTAAATTTTAATTATATAATTTATAAGGAGAGACGTATTTACTTTAACAAAATAATACTCCTGATATAAAAATTTAAAAAAATTAAAAAAATGTCGTACACATTTTGAACTAATAAATACTAATAATAACTTCAGTGAAAAATTATTAAAAATCATTCGACATTTCAACATATGAATAGAGACTACATGTCAACGTAGTATTTATTTTTTCCGCAATAAACGTGTCGAATACGGACTTAATAATTCTACGGTAACAAACGCTTGATTGCACCGATCCGATCTTATTTTATTGGAAAGAGTAAAACACTATAATTGAGTGTAGGACCAATAACATTAAGTTCATCTGTCGACCGACCCACGACCAACTTTCCATTTTTTGCAGTTATGGGTTCATACAATGCAATTTCCTCCTTCGTTTTCTCTAGGACAACTCCCACTCCCGTGGGACTCCTACGTGGCCAGCCCCAGGACCATACACTCCGTAGGAGATTATCCTGAAAACGAATAACCAAAAAAAAAAAAAGAAAAGAAGGTCCAAAGAACGTGTGAAGATTTTGTTTTCTTCACGTAAAACGTTTTTGGAGGTTGAAATTATTGTTCAGTCTCTTAAAGGCAAGTTTCGGAATTTCTGTTCGACGAAATAAGGCAATTTCTCTAGTTTTCTAAAGGCCCAACCCATTCTCAGCCCAATAAAGAAGAAACTAGCTTTCTAAATTTCATTCAAAAATTTATATTCAATTGGGTTTTTTTATAACGATAGAATTCCGTCATTTATCTACTTGCAGATGAAATTCACAAATGAATTTCACAACACACTCTGTATACACGGTGAAGTAAAATTTATTTCATACTGACTGCCCTGCCTTTGGGTAGAAAGCTTAAGATTTGATCTATGGTGAAATATAGCAACAATTTTTGTTAAAAACCCACTTTTACAATCTAGAATGGCAAAATTTTACCAAAGGAACACAAATGTAAAGGAGAAATGGATCATCCGGAAAGGATTGCAGCACATTCCTAAAGCTAAACAGCGAAAGCAACATGGGCATGATCTTAAACAAAAGAATCATTGCCAGGAATCATGATGAGAGTAGATAGGCAACAGACATATTAACTGATATGTATATATATATATATAATATTTACTCTAATTAACTAGCTTTAGTCATAAACCTTTGTATAGCTTACTGTGACTCCCTTGTCAAAATCTAAAAGCATCTGTCTGGAATCGCTCATCATACAATCTCCAATGATCGTATCTGTCCGTATGAAAGGCTGACCTGGGAATAAAGAAATTCGGCTTCTTAACTTCCTTGAGATTATTCATATTCGATGAAGCATTGTCAATTTCACGATTTGTCAAGTTTTGGCATCCAAACAAATCCAAATATTTCAAATTCTGGCAGCCTTCACAGATTAAAGCAAGACCTTTTGCGGATAATTTGGAGAAACGAAGCTCAAGGTGCTCCAGATGAGGCATAGACTTCCCAATCGCACTGGCCTCTGAGTTCCCATCCTGAGGGCAAGCGTTCAAATAATCACAAGGGACAACTCCAACGTGCTCAGAAGGATCTAAGTGATTCAGCAAGTTGCGCTTAAGAATCTTTAGATTTTGGCAGTTCCCCCCCATCATCAATAGGGACTCATGAGAGATTTCATAGCAGAAGCTGATATCAAGTTCCCTAAGCTTGGAGCACCTAAAAGCTATCTTAGCCATGGATACATCAGTAACATTTGGACAGCTCTTAATTGAGAGTACCTCAAGATTTGGGCACCTACAAATACAACAGGAGAATACATGTATTTTACACAATTTTACGGCAAAATCCAAAACTCGAAATGCAATTAAGGAAAAAGCAAAATGAATAAAATATTTAAGCAACATGGAAAAAGGAAAAATATGCAACAAAAGCAAAGCTAAGATATTATCAGTTTAGTACGATACTTTATAAACTTGCATCGATTTTCCACCCAAAATGCAACATTGAACAAATTTATGTATTTTGTTTGAATAATATACGCATTATAGTTCTTTTCCCCCACAATTACTATTAATATATCAAAACTGCTTGTAACCACTGCAGACGGGAGCACAGGTCTAGTAGGTTAGCAATGTTTTTTACAAAGTTATGGATAAGTGCTAAAAGAATAGTGGTATGACTATGTAACATCCCACTGCTATTCAGAAAAGGATTGTTAGTAGAAAGCTTCAAGTTCCGAACATCCTCGGTAAGACATTAAGACTAAATATCTGCCTTTACCTTGAATATCACTTTTTCTGAAATCTACCAACTTCCAATCGTCCATCCAATATTCAGAAGCAAAATATCATAGTTAAAGGATTATGGAAGCGGGCTTCCGTATAACAATAGTTAACTTGAGCTCCATGGGTCTTCTTCGAATCTTCGTTATGTAATTTCCTCGTAAGTTGGTTAACTCACTTCATTTTGCATCAAGTCACTATATTATGTACTAAGTTATTATATTAATTAGCACTACTAACAGGTGTTTTACATTCTAATACAAAATTTTTACCATATTTCTAAAACTAAAGCACCATACAAATCGAATTTCTCTTAAGTTACAAGATGCACTACCTGGAACGTTCGTTTCATTAGTTGACTTTTTTGCCCATATAATGGATAATTTCGACCTAAATTACTTCCCAAAACTCAATTAAAATTACCAAGGTCCGAAATCTCAATCGAAAATTCCGCTTAGCTTTATTAGTTCCAACCCTTGCTTACATATAAGAACGCACAAGGCGTACAGACAATTAAAACCACTAAATAAACAAAATTAAAGGACCCTTCAAAATCTTAAGAGATTTTGTTTTTACAGCAACTACAGTTTATTTGCTGAAATAGAGATTTTGTTTATACACAAAATGATGCGAGCAACTAAAAACAAAAATCCATATGTATATGCAGAGAAAATACAAATATATGCAATCAAAGTATATGTAACGAGCATATTCCTAGGTATTTGACGTATAGCGTACCTTTCTGCAGCGTAGGAGAGAGAACGATCGGAGCAGTGCCTCGAGCGGATCTGACGAGACCGCCGTTGCTCCAATTGACGACAGATCGAATAACCGAATCGATCCTCCTCTCGAACGCAGGAGTCCACCATCGCGGAGACTCAACGGACGAGTCGAAGTGTGTCTCGAGATCGAGGATCGAGTGGAGGGAAGGATCTTTGCAGGCTTGCAGCCACGATTTGCAGACTAGCATGGCCCCCGTCCATCTCTGCTCCAAGGTGAGTCGAGAGAGGACGTTGACGAGGCACTCGTGAGTCAACTCGTCCCAGCCCGCGCTGAGTCCCGACTCGGTCTCTCCTCCCTCGTCCATTCTCCTTTTTGATACGGCTTCTCGAAATGTTGGGAAAAGCGGTTTTATAGTCCGCGCCTATTAAGACACGCGAAGCCAATTCAAAACTCGCCGCTCGCTTTATCCAACAAATCGGCAAATAAATTTTTAAATACACATCCTCATTCATAATAAATAAATAAAATATTATAATATTATAATAAAAACTATATTATAATATAATACTTATATAGTGATGTAGGAATCGTAAAATATTGGATTAACTACGAAAAAATAATATAAGATTTTTACGTAATTATGAATATTTTTTAAAATAAAATGCTCTCGTTGAAATTATAATATAATTTCTTATGCGACAAAGACAACATTTTGGTTAACATATGTTATTTTTGCAATTGTGTCGAGCAATCATGTGATCATCTCTTACTCAATTATTCGGTTGTTTATAATATTTAGGGTTAGATTGGGTTACTACGGATGCTGTTGATAAGAAATTATGGGTTTAGTCAGATATATGCAAAAAAAAAAACCGTTATTTTTAGTTTTACTTACTATTTTTTGAATTGTGTGAAAGTAAAAAAATATGAAAATTTTTAATAATATAAAAATAGGCTTCGAAAAAATTAAAAATACACGAGTTAATATTTTAAATTTTATATTATTAGGTCATGTTATAAAAAATTAGAATGATATTAGAATAGTTATCGATCACGTGACTGATATGTAAATTTATTTTGTATACGGGTGATACTCCTTTGATATTTTTGTTCATGATAATATTTTTTTAAAACAAATAATATAAAATTTAATATAAAATAAGTAATTATTTTTCTTGATTATGATTAGTTTTAGTAAGCTAAGGGTATTAAAGTGAACAAGAGTAACATATAATGGTTCATTTTAATTAAAAGTAAAATAATTATAAAAATAACTGTAATTATAATTAAAAAAAATTAACTATAACAAAATCATCAAGAGTAAATACTATACCTATATATATAATATTTCTTAATCAATTATAAATACATTTGCGTTAAAATCTCATTAACTGAATCATTATCATAACCATAAATTATCGATATGTAATATTAAGTCGGATAAAGTTAAAATTGTTTATTATTATTTGAGTTCGCCCTTCGGGATACTATGAGTATCGAGCACCTATCCAATTCAAGAAATGAGAAGATCTTATTCCCCTTTTACATTAATAGGAACTCCTTTCAAACAAGGTTCAAAACTTTCTGTCGAATATCCTTTCTGGATAGCCTGAACTATTAACCTCCAAAGGGTGTCTTTAAACCAATTTCAATATGTTCCATACTTGAGCACATTACTCTTTACCCAGAAGTGAATTTTGTGACTTGTGAAGACTACGCCTGAGAGTTCGAACAACTATGAAACGATTTATAAAGTACTCAAGGTTGTAAACGGAGACAATAGTTCATAGTTAACAACTATACACGACAAAGAAACAAAATTTACACAGTAATCATCGAACATAACGGCAGGCAGACATAGTCAAGCATGGGAGAAGCTAAACAACCAGTGGACGGGAAAAAGCAGAAAAGAATTACACGCCTCTGATAACTGAAAATTGACAGAAGAGGACTTCCAACATATTCTGACAGTATCTCCATTTCCACCAACAATGCTTTGCAAATATTTTACATGAGAATATGTTGTATACAACTGAAAATTCAAAGAATGCAGTTTAAGCATAGTAGTAGGTTATAGCAAAGATACTAAATAATCTCATATGTATAGGCATATTCCAATGCATGATAGGAAGGACCAAATCATGAAGTATGGACATTACTCCTCACGCCTTTTCCATTACTAAAATGCTGTTCTTGGGCATATAAAACTGTCCTTTACTAGCTTCTCCTCTTCCAGACTAGTAACTTAGCTCTTATCTTACAAGTCTAGCGTAGACTGGTTTAGGATCCATCAACAAAGTACAGTACAGAGAAGTATCTTGGTGAAAAATAACTTAGCTCCTAGTCTGTCACTTTTCTAATATGTGCTTTAGAAAAACAACAGGCTACCAAACTAATCCCGCACGTGCAAGTATAAGAAGATTAAGTTAGTAGCAAGGTAGTCAAGAAGAAACATGCAATAACCTATAAGTGAAAAAAAAAAAAATCCATCGTAAATCTGTTAGAAACTTCAATAGGGACATCAATGTAATCTCATATCAATGTCTATATTTCCCTGCAGGAGAATATGAACAAGTTTCCTGCAACAATTCTTTGAGTAACTTAAAATATCATAGTGCTTTAACCACATTTCTTAAGTAATCTCAAGAATTCTCTAATTTATTACCAAGTTAGTCAAGAAGAATCTTCCGACAACCCAGAAATGGAAAAAGAAAAGTACAGCGTAGACCAATATTGATGACATAGCAAACAATCTATTACCAAATTCAACAGGGTTATCAACATAATCTCATATCTTTCCCTGCACAAGAATACGAACAAGTTTCCTGCCACAAAGAACATTGAGTAATTCTACTTGTCCATATATATAACCAACTAAGCAAATCAAATTGAAGTTCAAAAACTAATTAATAAGAAACAAATGATCATAAATAAAAACAACCAATCACATTTCATAACAATAACAAATCAGATTTGAGGATCAAGGTCTCCATTCCACGGCCAATCTCAGTATTTTATCGATACTGAATACAAATTAAGCACAACATACTGATCCCAGAGGGAATAATAAAATTGTAAATACACACTGCATCAAAGGAAGGAAGATCCATGGATCACGAATAGCTAGCATAGAGAGGACGCCTGTGCTCATCAAAGTACTCATCACGATCCACAAACACAATGACATAGAGGGCGTAGATTATACCAGGAATGTAACCTAGAAAAGTCAAAAGCAAGCAAATACAAAATTCCATCTGCAAAAGAAAAAAGAATTCAGTTTCTGGTCACTGTTCGGTCAGAAAAACACATCGCATCAAGAGAAATTAAAATTAGTTCAATTTCAATATGTCCATTGCAAAGCTGAACAGACTACAGAATAAAATTAGAAATAATAAAAAAAAGTTGCTCCAGATTTGGGAACAGAAACTTTTAACTTCTCCTGAGTTTTCTAAGCAGTAGAATAGGAATTCAGATAGCGAAAAAGAACAACGCTCAATTTGATTGCTAGATTATATGAAAAAAAAGAAAAAACACAAATCCTAATATTTTCATTCCTGATAACCCGCAGTACTGACCATCGAATAGTAAAACAAGACTCAAAACCTTCCACAATCCTCTTTTACTGACTGCCAATTTCTCTCTACGTCCAGATAAATTAAGGAAGAACAAATTTTAGGCTCTGTTCTGTTACAGCTAAACTGCCTTGATTCCTAATTTTCTTTGCATCCAAACAGATATATAGACGAAATATCCAAAAAAAAGGACAGATAAAAGTAAAAAAAAAAAAAAACGTACCGTGCAGCAGCCATGCCTCAAGCAGACCCCCAAAGGAGGGAGCAGAATCGCGATCAGGATTTCGCAAAAGATTTCGCAGCGGGACGGCGTTTCAACAGAAGAAAAAACCGAGGAAATTGCTTATACCCACAGATGAACAGCTGATGAACTTAATCTATCCAGAGTACAGAGTCTTGACAGCGAGAGACGAAAGAGATCCGATCTCTTTGCGAGGACTTCGTGAGGGGGTGTGGGTTCGTTTTAAAGGGAAAATGTCAAACTGTTAAACGGATCGAACGAGGAGCAATAATGCAATATAAAACTGCACCGTTTTACACGTCCTGCAAAAATAATAAATCAAATAAATTAAAATTTTATATTACCAAAACATAATTATAACTTGTACCATAAAAATATTACTCAAAACTAAATAAGCTGGTTAGTTACTCGGCATAATATTATGATCGGTACGAAAATAAAATATTTTAAAATTTTAAATTATAATAATTCTATTATTTTAAAATTAAAAAAATAAAAACATTGTATTTAAATATTAAAAAATTAGAATTAAAATTTTATAAATTAGGTTATGTATAAGAGATATATATATATATATATTTTAAATGATTCTTGTAGATTTAATATTTAAAAGTAGAATTTGTAAAAGTAATATGAAAAGTTAATTTAATCTTTCAAATTATGGTTATAATCGATTGTTACACAGAACGTGTGGAGAAAAGTGGAAGATAATTATTAAAATAATCAATTAGAGTTTTATTTATCGTAGGTTCATTTAATTGTAATTTAATTACTGTATTTTTTTTGTGATAATTCATTATTAAATGTTTTGTTTCTCTATGGCCATATATGAAGCTATTATATTTTGTATGTTATATTTTTTAATCTTAATTTTGATTTATTTTTTGAACTCTTGTATGTTGTTGTGATATAGAAAAACAAAGGCTAAAATATTAAGTTAGTCATTTTTTTATTTTAAAATATTTAAATTGACATATGCACTATTTTAATGTCTTTTGTTTATATGATTTTTTTTAAAAATATAATTTAGTTTATGACGATTAATGAACGTTAATACAATTAATAAAAGCGTCATGTAACTTTAGATTGAACACGTATTATATTTTGATGGTGTAACGACCCCGAAAATTCAAAAGAATTAAATGATAATTTAAGTGCGGAAGCGAAATAAAAAGTTAAGGTTTACATTCTTTATACAATAACTTAAAATACCAAATAGTGATACGAGAATTACCATTTTTTAAATAAATACAAAAAAAAGTAGGAAATAAGCGGAAAGTAAATGAAACTAGCATCATACTCACAACCCTCTTGTAGATCGGGCTCTGAATCCTGGTCATCTTGATATGAAATAGTTAAATAAGGAGTGAGCTGTACTAATCCAGTAAAAAAATCATGTCAACTAACTGACACAGAAAAAAAGTTGGAAAAAAATCAAAACAACTAATGGAGCGCTTAATTAAATAAATTTTATTTATCATAAATAAAATCTTTTACCATCCACTTACCGTAATGAGATTTATAAAAATAATATATAGAAACAACAACATTATACATATCATAATTTCATATAAAATTGGCAACATAGCACACATTATACTTTCATATCCAAATCATCAAACCAACAACTATCTTTTTTTTCATCAGCCTACTAGTATCCATGAGGATTCATAAGGATATCTCCACTACGAGTGAACCATTTTCTTTAACATTCTCAATCAACGGGCCGTCCCCATACCCTATCCGGTATGAGCACCAAATTACTAAACCTCAATACTTCATCCGGTATGAGGGTAAAACAGGTCGTCTCCACATCCCGTCCGGTATGAGCACCAAATTACCAAGTCTCAATACCCCGTCCAGTATGAGACAACGTTCATGGTAGGGTTCCCTATATATCCGGTCCATCCACTATCTCTTAGGATATCCAGTAAGGCTATCAATTCATCTATTCACTCAATCACACTATATTCAATTTACCTTTAACCTCTATTTTTATATTCTCAGCTGTAAACACATAAAAAAAATAATACATACATTCAAAACTATAAAATCAATCAATGAAATACTATCATGCAATTAACTGTACAATAACTGTAACGGCCCCAAAATTTAAATAAAGTGTATGTATTAAAAATCTCAAATGCGGAAGCGTAATAAAAATTTTGATTAACATCCCTTACATAATAACCAAAACGTACTCAAAACATGAAGGAACAAACTAACTAAAAGAGATACTCGAAATAAGAACTATAAATATAACTATGAAGTCTTTAGGCGTCCCCTTCGCTGTCTTCCTGCGAAACGGGCTCAGGAACAACGTCTTCCTGATTTGAAATAGTTAAATAAGGAATGAGCTACACCAGCCCAGTAAAGACATCACACTATCTCACCACCACGAAAGTAAATGTGGGTAGAAAACAAAAATGATTAATGGAGCATAATTTATAACAAACTCGTTTATTAACATAAAAACCTTTACTGTCCACTTACCTCGGTGAGATCTATGAAAACAACATATGAAAGCAATAACATTATCATCATCATGAAATTATATAGACTTTATAACATAACACTTACCATGCCTTTGCATTTCAATCATTAAACAACACATTTTCCTCTTTTACCAGCCTAGTAGTATCCATGGGGATCCATAGGGGGTCCCCGCTACACGTGAACCATTAACATTAATAACCTGATTTCAGGGCCGTCCCCATACCCCGTCCGGTATGGGCGTCAAAACCCTAAACCTCCATACCCCATCCGGTATGCGGGTGAAATGGGCCGTCCCCATACCCCGTCCGGTATGGGTGCCAAAACACATAGGGTCTCCATACCCCGTCCGGTATGAGAGACCACGTTCCCGGTAGGGTTCTCTACGGAC